CTTTCAATCAACTGTCCCACAAAGGACTTTTCTTGGAAAGATGTCTTTAGCTGGTGCTGCTTTCTGGAAACAATGAAAATTACCAAGAATGATGGGGCATGCACTTCAGGGTAGGGCCTTCTCTTTAATTTATCATTTAACACCATTAAGCATGCACTGTTCAAAACAGGATGATTAAAGAGGTTGCACATCTTCAACAGGACGTTTATGTTCCAGGGGATATTTTTTGAATTAAGACAATATGTGGAGAGTTAGTGATATAAATGGAATACTTTCACTCCAAATGGCTTAAAAGAGGGAGAAGAAGATGCTTTCTATAGTACTTGAAGCTCTATTTCTTACTTACATCATATTGCTAAATAAGCTTTTATTACATAATTAACACTGAAATATCATCTTTGGCCTTTAAAAGTAACATTGGAATTGGAAGACTCACCTAGTTATTGTTTGAATCACTGGACATTCCTCTAAAGGAGAGGTGGGTATTTCAGTAACGGGAAGTAGCACTACTTTGGTCATGTAGTACAAGTGTCATTTCCAGCAGATACTGAAAATCTTAAACCATTACGGGTGCCATATATGTACATACAGTACAAATCATTGTGAATACTATTTGAAATGATGGATGAATGATTTGAATTTAGGTCCTCATCCAATCCTTGCCAAAGTCAGTAGGATCTTTGACAGAATCCTGGATAAAGCCCTGGGTGATAAAAAAAATACAGAACTGGGTCATCTGGTCAGAGGGGACATAGAGGAAAATCCACTGCCATTTCTCTTGCCATTCACTCCACTGATTTCCTATTTTCTGTTGTCTCATGTTTCATGCTGCAAATGGCTTGCATCTTTCCCATACCCAAGAATAACTGCCAAAAGGCTTTCCAAAGGGTGTTCCAAGAATTTTTAAAAAGTTACTGGAATTCTGTTGGAATTGAAAAAAGAAACTTAACCTGTGCTCAAAAAACAACCTATCACAACAGACGTAACATCCATCCTCACCTCTGCCTTCACTGTCAGACAGAGCAAAGTGGATATAAGAGGATGTTAGGGGAAAAGAGAGGTTCTCTCCCTCCCGCATACCCACTCTCTGAAATGCTGTGACCATAATTATGAAGGAACAGACTTTTTTCTTGGGTGAATTTATTACTTCAGGTATGAAACTGAATGCCAGCAGTGGAAATGCTTCTGACCAAACCAGAAGAAAGACAGCACTTTTATTTTTGTTTTTCCTACTTTTTTCCTCAGTATTCTGTCTTGCTTCTCTGAAGTCAGATGACTGCATGTCAGTTGACAAGGCCCAGGCTCATATTAGTGACTGACAGACCGTTTTATACAGAGTGGGTTTCTTCTCTCATGCCATGTTTCTTCTACTTTTAGATCTCTGTTGTTTTGCTCCTTAAGGCCCTGCCTCCCTTACCACTGCTCCTATCCTTAGATTACTTCCACTTGTTCTCTGTGCCCATTTGTTTTTACCTACATATTAGAATCACTGAAATCATGAGACAAATGTTTCTCCTTTTATCTCTTCTTCTTTCACCTTCATCATCACCTTTTGGAATAGTCTTGTGCTGATGGTTTGAACACGTTGCAGGAGAGTAAAAATTAACTGAAAGTCAACTTGGGTATTCCAAAGATCAGGTCTCTGCTCTCTTTCTTTGTGTTTCATGGACAAGCATGTGTACATCTTCTGTTTCTTGCTCTTTCGACTATTTACTGAGCTCCAAAACTCCAATGCTGGCAATTGTCACTTGGGTGGTTTTGTTTTGTTTTAAATATCTATAAAGCTTGGAGATCAAAGTTGTTTAAGGCCCAAGTAATTACAGTCACAAAAGAACTTTAAAATGTGATTGTGAGTTGTAGCTGAGAAGATGAAATAATTTTTTCCTTGTCTTATTAAAAATTCTTTAAAAAATAAACTCTTTTGAAATTGCTAGTATATAACACAGGTGGGGATTTTTTTCTTTTTAATTTATCTTGCCAACACTGTGATTCACTGACACGATGAGTGCTACAATTCTTCCGCTCTTGTCAATTTTCCTTCATCTCTTGGTACAGACATCACCTTGTCATGACAGCACAAACTAGTTCCTCTCTTTGACAGAAAAATCAACTGTTAGTTTTGACTTTCTATCCTTTCTCACATGACAGTAAAGATGTCCACAGGTACCATGGAGATCTGCTTCTGTAATGTACAGATGTCAATGAAATATATGTGTCTAGTAAATAAAGTTTTTCCTTCTTCTACACAGAACAGAACAAGCCTAAAAGTGAACTGCCAAAGTCAATTTCTATGTAATTAACAAAACAAACCTAGCTCCTCCTTGACTAAACATTAAAGATGTTAAACACAAACCTTTCAAAGAAATGAAAGCTATAAAGCACTTGTGTTTTAACCTCTTCAAAACTACTTTTTCTCTAGCTGGTGTCAGAGAGAATGCAAAAAGCCAATATAATTACTTTAGTCTGAGCTCATGATTCCTTGGGTGTCTCTAAGAGCAAGCAGTAGTATTTGGAGATAAACTATTGATGTTCAAACTTCCAGTCCCATTATGTTGTGTCAGTCCTCAAACGGTCAGTAAGAGCACCACATTTAATTATCATTCACATTATTATTGTAGGGGTTTCTATGAATCACAGCATACAGTTACTGGGAGCAGATATTCTCGTTTTAATGTCAGATACAGGCATAAAATCCTCAGTAAATTCTTCTCCTCATTAAGTCCTTTCCCCTTCATCAGGCTGGTCATCAGAGCACGAAGAAATGTTTCATAATCCTCTAATCTGATGTCACAACACCACTGGTGCTTTATTTTGCCAGTGGAAACCCTAAAGCACAGGAAGGGTTGGTCCTCTGCTTGTGTGCCTATGGAGGAGGTGGTTGCATGTCAGTGCCCACCATCCCCTGCTCCCTAAGTCTCTTGTGACCACCAGGAGGTAGCTGGCTCCCCAGCAGCCCAGGCCACCAAAGGTGGGAGAAGACCACCTCCTCAAAGCTTCTTTTCCTTTCAGTTTTTAAGGTTGTAAAGTGCATTTCAGCAGGTATTCCTTCATCACAGCAGAGCCAAGAAGAAAATCATACATTTATGTTCTATAAAAGGACACATTTCTTTCCCTTAAAGTGAACCCTGAAACTCGTAAAAGCACATCCTTAACTGCACTAAGGACACAGCCAAGAATTTTCTTGTAGCAAGTCTAAGGTTTAGCCCAATCAAAATAGACAGGAATTAAATTCACAATAAAACAACAAGGAGCATGAAGTCCATTTAGATCATCTTACATTGCAGTATTGCCTTCAAATCCATATTTGTTAGCATTTCTTTGAAACAATCCCCCCTCCCCTCTTTTTTAAAAACTATTTTCAAAAATGATGGGCAAACTCAGTATCTCCAACTGGCAAATAAGAATGGACACAATAGGTGAACAACATGAACTTCTGCACTTGGAAGGCACTGCAACATCAGATCAACTCAGATCTGAAGCGTCATCTTATTTTTTAAAGCAGGCATCCTGCTAATTGTTAGCAAGCTTCAGATGAGCACACAAACTTGGAAAGACAGGTCAAGACACAAGTAGTAACATACCCTCTATGTAGAGTGCATCTGACCAACTTACTTACATTGCGTATTAGAATTATTCTATCAAATGAGCATTTTGCCTTTAGCTCCAAATAGCCACTACTTCATTTTGGGACTTTTCTTGCTCCTTCTGAATTTGGTTATTTATTTTTTGAACAGAAAACTATTTATTTAAATAAAGATACACTGAGGATCATTTTGTACAGAATCACACTTCTGCTGAAGGAAAAACAGACTCATTTTTCCTCTAAATCACAGACATCTTAAAACATCACATACAGAGTAACTTTGACATGTCTGGATGATTTATTGCTCTAATTTTCATCCACTCAGCAGTTTTTGCAAACATATTTCTAATGTTACTGTCAACATGCAATGTTTAATTCTATTGCTGTGCTAATAAAGCAGCTTTTTCAAACTAAGTCACTAAGTGAAATAACATTATAGCTCAGATCATATTTATTACCATTACACTAGATAACTAGTGTATCTAACACAATCTGTTCAAGAACTTATCCAGAAGTATTGTGTTTCCCTCCTTAAGTGAGACAAAAGTTACAAAAGTCTAATCTTCTGTATAAATTTGCAACTTACCTAAAATTTAGATAGCTCCCTGGTATTTTTGGAAAAATACATCCAAGTATAAATCCTTTTTCTCTTAGCAGAAATCAGAATCACTGAATGTTGTTTTAAGAAAAATTTATGTGCATCACAACAAAGGAATGTAAAAAAGCTGCAGGAAAGCTTGAATAAATAAAATAAATATGGATGGAATAAAACTGGCTTCCCCCCAAAACCCAAGTTTGTCAAGAGAACAAAGCACACACAAACAGCATGTAAAACCTGAATTCAAAATACGTTTATAAAAGAGGGATGAGGACACATGTTTTTTCTATTTCAGCTCGAAAAATAAAGGGACACAGCAATGAGTCTTGCTGGCAGGCAGATAACTCATAGGCCCTGACCCTTCGACTCACCAGGAATTCAAACACAAAGCTCTTTTCATAGTGACCGTGCCATACATTCTCAAGATAAGGCAGCGAAATAAGGAGCAATGGAGAGGTGCCACAAAGCTCAAACTGCAGAAAACTGTGCACAGAAATTATGTTCACTTATTCACCTATATGCAGCTGCAGACCAAGTGCTAACTGCAAAAGTATTTCTTTGCAAATCAGAAGCCATGCAAAGTGCTTTTAGAAATGGGACCTGTCTCCTGAAGCAAGCAAAAGCAAAAGAGAGAGAGCAAGCAGCAAGGAAAGGACTATCCCTGTACATTGCTGTATCGTTCAGAATCGCAGTGCACATCCGGACAAATAAGCTGTAACACAATGAGCTTCGCAAAAGGATTGCTGTGGTAAAACGGAAGGCTTTTTAGAAACAACAGAAACAGCTACATTTCAAACAAGATTTCAAATCCGGACTCACCATGAAAAAGCAACAGTTGCCTGAAGTTAGTGTGTTATTTTCTGCCCTGTTCCATTGCACTTTTTGCCTAGTTGTCCCATACTTGGTAGCTCAGAGCTGCCACACAGAGGCCCCTTCCGTGATCTGGCTTATTTGCCTGTCAGTTTGAGTCTCAGCTTCTGTATGATGCAGCTGTGCACTTTGCTGAAGGTCTAATATCATTTCCATAAGCTTTCTCCCTGCCCGGAGCAAGCAGTTTGTTCTCCCTGCTCAATAAATACTCAGATCACTTTTCTGGTACTCACAGGGATAAAGCTTTAAGTTGTTAAGGAGTTCTTACTAAGTAGTGGGTGGAGAACATAAGCTCAGTACAAGGAAACTCTGCGCATAATCAGAAACTGAGAAACTTCCTCCCTTTCCCCCAACCCCTCCTCTCGCCAGGCGAAGCTGCCAGTGCCTCCTTTACAGAAATTTAGGAATGTAAAGGGAGGACTCAAAGGGGCCCAGTCAGACAAGCCTTTCTCAATCAATTAGCTTGCAGCCATTACTTGTGACCCTAGGTCACACAACATAAGTGTGTGGGGTGTGCCTTTAGGGGTACACCAAAGCCACTTATTAAAACTTACATAACCAAAAGTGTTCAAAATCAAATAAACTTTGAAAGCTGGAAAATATTTTCCACGTACCACAGTTTTGCAGGAAGAAAAGTCTAGAGTAAAGAAATGTTACTTTGCTTTTCCAATAACAAATCATTTGATGCAGGAAACTAACATTTTTTGTACTTTAAAAAAAAAGAAATTGAAATGCGAGATACAAAAGCAGACTTTAAAGTGATATTTGCTTTACAATTATGCAAAAGCTAAATAATACCGGCATGAGTGATATATGACGAAGCACATGATCATGTTTCCTAAAATAAGACTATTGTTTGTAGCTGCAAAGGAATAGATGTTTATGGGACTGTTTAATTAATTCATGAAGTTCAATCCACATATTTCAGTCCTCTGCAAGAAATGAGTCCTGAGCATTCGGATTCCATTCTCCATTTTAATACTCCAACATAAAAAAAATGAAACCATTTACTTTTAAAAAAGGTCTGGGGTATTTAAATACCACAGTAAGTTATCCTGCATTGAACACACAGGGAGAAGAGGGTGTAACTTACCACGATTCCCACACAACAAGTATACACCCCTTGGTGTGAAGGAAAACTTCAAAAAGACCCTCAGCTTCATATCCTGCCAACCCAATGACATGGAGATGATGCCTTGGAAAAACCCATGAGGGAGTCCTGATTTCAAAAGCAGATCTATGACAACCCCTTTCTGGGCCAGACAAGATCAATGCACTGCAGGGGCGATGCACTTTAATCTCAAGGTGCATCGCAAAGCATCTTTAAATAGTGCCACAGATCAAGGCTTATACATAGTTGAAAAAAAAACCAGCTCAGCCCAAACTTCACTCTCTACTTAAGGTAACTGAGCAACAGCTACACAAAAGCTCATGGAGGAACAATAATATAGGAAAGTAGTGGTAGTGCATTGAAATACATTGAGGATGTTGTAGACAACCCGCAATCTACATGTCTCTTCTCCGTTAAAATCCCAGTCAAACTCTCTGAACAGGCAGCATGGCTTGTGTTAGTTCAGACATTCATTCCAGAGATCAGATTGCAGTATCAGGGCCACTGAGTAAGTGCCCTGGGGTAAGGATTTTGCTTCTGTTTTGCACATAAGACAGCATTTAATAAATTAGGTCACATTTAAATCCTTGGAAAGCCCTGGCAGTAGAAATAATAATCATGGAAACTTTAATTTTGAATGAAAAAAACAGGCTCAGGATTAAGACACTGGACTGGGATTTAGGATATTTGGGTTCTGCTCTCATTCATGTCTCAGACAGCCCAAATGATTTGGGAGACATTGTTTCACCTTTTAAATTTTTGCCAAATATCACTTGCCTTACAGATGCAAGGCCTTCGCCTCCCCAGAGTCTATCAATAAAAAAATTATAATAATATTCAATATATGGATCCCTTCAACACTGCTTCACAAAACATGCTCTGCAAAGTGGAATTAAAGCAGTATAGAATATAAAACACTTACTGCCACAGAACTTCTGAGTAACTGAAAACAAGGAAACTTTCTACATCAAATATCCAGAAACATCATTCAAATCCATTATGGGCTTCAACATAAAGACAATCTCCAGGAGAAAAATGCAAATCCACGCACATGAATGATGATATACACTTAATTATTTCTTATTTAGTCACCTAAATGTAAGGTACCTGGAAAGCTTACAGGGTTGGGCCCTTAAATCACAAGGGGTTGGAGTCCCTAATAGCAGAAAAAAATTAGAAGACAGCACCTGTCTGGAGACAGGTTGTCTAGAGTGTTGTAAGTGTTGTAAGTTGTTGTAAGTGTTATGAAATGGAGAACTTACTCCATGTTTGGCCAATCTCCGTGAACTTCCAGGGTAAATTAGAGGAATTACCGTTAATTTCACGTTTCCCTTTAACCTACAATTTCTAAAGCAAGATAGAGCCCAAGCACTCCATTTGGGTATTCATTATAGATTCCCAAATCTTTCTTTTAGAAAGGTTGATATGGAAAATTTACGACACAAATAACAAAGACATTTAAAGGATGTTTTTAATACAACTTAAAACAATGCTTCCACACTGGAAATAATAATAGAATAATGGCTCCTCCTGGCACTGTTGAGTCCCCTGGCTAAGGGCTCTTCCTTTTCCTGATTGCTGGCTGTAAAATTACCCCTCCATTGGCTCCACTCCATCGCTGCCACATTTCAGCCAAGCAAAGGCAACGTGAGACATTTCACAATAATCTCTAGCAAAGAAAGATGCAAAGCTAGAAGGACATGGTCCTCAAACCAAAGACAGTAGCTAGAAATACATAAAACTCCTTTAGCATTCTCAGGGCACTCTCTTATGAGTGAGACTCTTTTTAATTAATGAAAGTAAACAACACCTTAGTGCTTCCATTTTCACATTCTAATAAGGATCAGCCCAGAACAGACTGTATTTCAAGGAAGGATAACGTAAGTTTTCACATATTTTTTCACATTCTGCCCTCTTTCCTCAAAAGTCACAAATTTTGGAGAGACCTACCTTAACTAGCTACCTTTTTGCCCCCCCTTATATCTGTCATATGTTCTTGTATACTAACAAGAAAATGCTCACCTAGGGTGCATACATCTTCCTCCTTGCACTGAGATATTTTCAGACTTACTAACTCAGAGGTAGCAAGGAAATGAAATGCACAATTATTATACAAAATTTTTCTTTGCATATGTAGATCTTCAGGCCTGAAATACACTCAAGTTCAATGTGAGCAATATATCATCATGCTACATTAGGTGATCCTTTGAGAATAAGAGAGATTTCTTGTTATTTGAGGGGCTTGTTTTTCTGCATAACACCAGTCAGCATAAAAAGCAACACCTGTAACATTAATTCACAGAACCAGATCTCCTCCTCTGTTCTGCTTTTAAATGGAATTATATTCATTTTAGTTAGAAAGATAAAAAAGCTATGTGCAAAATACTTGTGGTAAAATATGCAAAGTTTATAGTGTTGATATTGGTAATCCATAAGATATTCATGTCTTAAGGCAGGCTCTAAATACTCTACATTAAAAGCAACCACTTCTTTAACAAATCAAAACAAAACTAATTCCAAAAAAAAAAAAAAAAAAGAAAAGCTTGCAAATACACTACAGTACTTTGAAACAGATCTTCCACTTTTTAAGCCTTTTTCCCCTGCCTTCCCCCACCCCCTTTTCCTTTCAGGAAACAAAACTCAAGAAGAGAAAGAGAGAGAGAGTCAAAAGGTTACAGCCGGCTTGTAAGTGCAAAGAACGTGAGAGGCCCATTCTTCCCCTTAACACCTGACATCCCAGGGTACATTTGCTTCAGTACTGAGTCTGGTGGATTAGACATGCAGCTACTATTGATAATGGAAGCTGTGCATCTCATTCGCCATGCACTGCTACTTAAAGTTCTCCTCCTACCCCTGCCTCTATAAATTGTTTCCCCTCTTGCTCCACAATTACAAACTTAATTAGTGGAAATTTGCATTCTGTCATGAATCGATCCAGTTAGATATCTTGTCTGAGTCCCAGATAATATATAAGAACTCATTCCTGGAACTCTGAAGTTTTAAGAAGTTGCAGGAAAATCAGTAAAATCATGCATTTATTCTCAACTACAAATAAAAACCAAGAGAGAACCTGATACAAAACTAATAAATGTTAAAGCCTTGTTAAAAAGAAATAATAAAATAATTTTAAATCCTGATTGACAGCATTTGTGACAGTATTATAACATTCATGCTACTATTCCTTGACCACGCAGAATACATAATTTCCCAGGATTTCCATAGGTTAGTGAAATAGGTGAAACACATCTAAGGCACATTTTTTACAGCTACAGAACAATGAAAGACCTAGAGAGAAATACTAAATTACCCGAGTCTTTTCTATGCTTCTCCTAGGATGAATCCCCCCCTGTACAGGCAGACGTAGCTGAGATCCACTTGCTTGGCTGATGCTGTAGGGACAAGGAAACAATTACCTCTAATTAGATGCATAATCATACACAAAATGGAAGAGGACTGAGAAAAAACTTAATTCTAAACACCAGAAGTCTTCAGGCAAAAGGACACGACAGAAACAAGCTTGATTAAGGTAGAAAAGGTACAGTTCACAAAAACCAACATCTAACTGGCCTGGCTGAAACAAGAAGTAGCAGGACAAAGTGAGGTAATATGATTACTTGGACTTTCATGCTATTAATAAATGCTACGATCTAATATAAAGATAACTTACTTTCAAGAAAAGACCCAAGCTCCAAGATGAAGTTGAGTAAAAACTTTAAAAATTAATTAACAAAACTGTGGAATTGAGAATATGGGAGAAAATGCGAGTTCTTCGCTGTTTGGGATACTCCCTGGATGTGATAGCACTGGGATGTTGCTCATGAGCTGCAACCGAGCAATGTCAGTCCCTGCTCCCTCTCATCCCTCACCTACTCCATCCCAAACGCCAGCCAAGTGTTTTCTTTTCCATATACAAGACACTCGAAATGAGTTTGAGGGTGCGTTTTCTTTTTAACACAACAAATACTGGAATATTCTAAATTTGGTTTCATGGATTTTTCAAATGTCTTCATCTGGTACCTAACAAGAGAGAACTGTCACAAATATCACAGGAGGAATCTGAGCAGGGAAAACAAAGATCAAAGAGGCAAATGAAAATTCTGGCAATTGATAGCCAGGTCTCCAGAAACACACTGAGATAACTATAATTTTTAGGACTCAAATGTGGGAAAAATCCAATGAGAAGATGCCAAAGAAGGTTTAAAGGAAGACTGCTGAGACCT